GAATGAGTTAATGATAGATACAACCTCTACTAATCTTTTAAAGATTGGGCACGTTATCAATGACGCGACGACCGTCTCCTTGGAATCAAGAGGGAACGCTCAGGTCGTGATAGACAGCAATGACAACAGCACAACCGCAACTTTCAAGATATTGAACAACAGCTCAACAAACAGTTCATACCTGTTCCGAGTCAATGAGGATGGAGACACCGATATATCGCGTGACTGCTATGTTACAGGCAATATCTACGGAAGCAACATCAGACTCTCGAATGATATATCGGCCAACACTGGAACAATCGACACAGCATATGTGAATGGCAATATCTACGGAAGCAACATCAGACTCTCGAATGACATATCGGCCAACACTGGAACAATCGACACAGCATATGTGAATGGCAATCTATACACAAGCAACATTGAGGTTTCAAATTCTCTAAAACTGAGTGACAAGGTCGCAATCGATACCAATAGAATCGATATCAAATACCCATATAGCAATTACTTGAAAGGAGATGTGTTCCTTGGCCCTTCAAAATCTACAGAGGTAATCAATGAGCTGAACACAAGCTACACAAACATCCAATTTTTTGGCACTATATATGACACATTCACGGTGTCAAGTTTTTATCGTATGAATTGCGACAGCAGCCAGAAAATTATTTTGGATGACCTGGTCTTTGGTCAATACATTAATCTTGCTTGGTGGTTCAGATTTGACAACTTCGACGAGAACGATGGAGGTAACACTGAATATCGCTTATTCCAAATCAAATATCGAAAGAAGAGCCTGGACCCGCTTTATAATCTTGACCCATACTATGATGGCACAGAGCTATATTACAACGTTTTTAGAACACCAGCCGGTGTTTTATATGAGCTTCAAATCATTGTAAAGATTGTGTATATCGACACTACACACAATAGGGTTGAAAACTGGTATTCTTTCGTTATCAACAACACACTTGATGTGTCAGCTGGCAAGTTCCAAGACTGGAACCATTACGCTGTAAGCCTTACAAAGGATTCC